GTTTAAAAAATCATTATTTTCTCGTTGTTTTTGTGCGAATTTAACACAGTTTTCGACGAAGTATACAAGCAAAAATGTTTGTTATTGAGCCTGCGATGATTGTGGTATAAATATTAAGTAGAACGTCATATAAGTGCGAATGAGTCGGAGTGTCTCATTTAGCCTCACTGTCTCATTTTGCCCTGCATTACCCTATATAGGCTGTATAGGGTGTATAGTGTGTATAGTGTATATAGGCTGTATAGGGTGTATAGTGTATATATGCTGTATAGCATGTATAGTGTATATAGTGTGTATGACGTGTATAGTGTATTATAGTATATTATACTATATTTATATTACATGACGTTTTACTATATTAGTGAGCGAAACATAAAATGATAACCGCTTAGTTGGGGAGGGTTAGTTGATGGGGTGTACATGGGTTGGAATGTGGTTTGGGGTTAAAATTCCGGTAGGATTGGGTTAGGTCTGGATTGCTGTTCAGGATAGTGGATTGAGTTAGTTTTCAACAGTGCTGTAGGTTTGGGAAGTTTGGAGTGGGTTAGGTGTGTAAATGTTGTGGGATTGTGTCCCTGATGAAAGTGGAAAGATCGGATGAAAATCTTATTGAGTTTGAAATGAATAGCTAGGGATATAGTGATGTTGTATATTGTCATCTTCAGAATGTTACCGTGTTGTTAACAAAAAATCACACATTTCGAACGCACATCACTAATCTGTGATTACTTCTAGTATTACGTATAATTACATACCTAACATATATATGTTGGGAAATTGATAATTTTGTAATTAAAAGTGATATTTTTAGGCGATTTTCATTTGTAAGAATATTCTTAAAAAATTATCGTGTTACCATGACAACTACTCTAGATACTTCTTGTTCGGAAAATACAACGGTTTTGTCAGCAAGGCGAGGGTTTCTGCATGCATGTATTTTCTAGTTTGAGATTGTATATATAGCTAGAAGTTAATTGCGTGACTTGGGTGTCGTGACAAATAGAATTCGTCTGAAAGTTTGAAAGAGATTTTTATTCGCTGTTGAATTGAATTTGTCCTTTAGTAATATTATCTCAGTGGTTTTTGTTCTGATTTAAAATGCATTCACATGTTTGTGGAATACAAAACAATATATAAATACAAAACAATATACATAGAAAATATTTTCAAAATTTGTTTAGGAGCCACATCCATATTCATGTTGCCGCGCATAACGTCGAATCGACGTTTTCACCAGTACCCACCCATCCAACCTAGATAACGTCGATCAATCAATTTATCTCAGCAATGCATTAAAATGCTGAGGCTTCAATTCAAAGTTATTGACTATTGTACTTGCCTTCATTGGGGATCTTTATTATAGAATATGAGAAGTCTTATAGCTTTATTACTATTTTCATACTGAACTATTCGTCTCGCAGAAAAATGTCGCGATTCGCGAACACAAATTGACGGGTATTTGACACGAAAAAAATGTTGCTTCAATACTTCAAGTCTTCTACCTTTGTTTTGACCTCTATTATTTGAAAATAATATAATACAGCAAGCTGTAGTCCATTTACTGTTCGGAGTACTCCGGATTTTCGGGACAGAAGACAGTCACATATAACTATTCTGAACTGTTCTGACTAACCCCGATTTTCGAGTAGGGGCAGCCAGAACAGACACGTGACACTGCCAATATTCACGTGATTGGAAATGGAGGCGACAGATTTTGCGTATCCAATGCACACTGCATAGTGTTATTTTGAAGGGTTTACCGCTATATATCGACATATATTTATTATATGCTATTTGAACGCCAGGGCCAGGCAAAATTAACGAGTAAAAACGTTACAAAAGCATACTTAGATGTACAAATAACAGCAAATCATTATACGATGTGCTATGCGAATAACTAATGATATAGTAATGCATGGTTGGAAGCATATACTGTATAATAAACTAAACACTGTTCCATAACACCGTGTGCACAACAGGTGGGAAATTTGTCGTCGCTGACCAAAAAATCGCGGGCAGAAACAAAGCTCATTGCATTTACATTCAAAACAAAGGAAAAAGTTAGCAAGAAGCTGTTTTAGCTGACGGTTTTTCCCTTTTCATTCAACGATTTACAATTTTAACGATTATTCTTTTGAACGTCGACTATGAATTCTTTGTTTTGGGATGATTTGTTTTGGAATCGAATGATTGGAAGAAGTTAATATGGCGACGTGAACATGGGAGTAAATACCGTATACGTCGATCTGTGGCTTGTTTAAAACCGTAATAAACGAAGAAAGACGTTATATGAGAATGAAATGTAAGCTGAAATTAACTTTATATGCTTCAAATTTTTTATCCTATGTTTCTTAATGTAACTTCAGCTGTCTAAGTTCAAAATACAAGCTCGCGAAATTTGACAAATTTTGAAAATATGTAAACATAGCTTGACTTTGAACTGTATTTTCTCAAAAATGGCCCGTGGCCTCAATTTCAAATATAACTAAATGAAAAGAAAAAACTTTTCGGCGTTTGTAGGTATCAAACAAATCATCTGGAAAATAGGGGCTCACAATGTTTTAGCTGAGTCTTTGAGACCCAGTTGCTTCGCACGTGTTGTGGTCAAATTTTTGCCAAGAATCAAAGGCCGAAATGTGAACTTCCTTCATGAAAACTGCTTCGAGAAGGTTCTAGTTTGAAAATTTAGCTATTAATTTCGATTTCATGAGCATATTTTGGTTACACGTTAAATATTTTTGTACTTGATGAGATTCAAAATTTGTTGAATATTCAAGCCCGGCGTTAGTGTAATTTTGGTGATGACCAGAACAGAAATAAAGATATTTTAAAAACTGGCCGTGGTCTCACGATAAAACTTTCTGAAAATGTTCTCTGTTTCATGTATTTTTATTTGATATCTTAGGTATAAGCGTAAAAATAGGGGCTCATACAGTTTACGAGGTTGTAAAATGCATGACTTGCCTCTATTTTCATGTAAACATTCGAAATTTTTCGACAGCAAAGTAGCAACTGTTTCAGATCAAATGCACACGAACAGCCCACCAGAAACAATGGCAGGGTACTGAAATAGAACGTCACTAAAAAATTCTGTATTATTAATTTAGATCACATCCATTTTCAACATAAAACAGTCGTTTATTTTGTACAAACATTTGGCAATATTTACACGATTGTGCCTTTTTGTAAACACGCTTTGCGTGTATTCCACGTAATTGCGTGGCTCATTTTGCTCGCGCATGCTCAGACAAATTTCCCACCTGTTCGTGTGCACTCCATTTCAATCGTTCTAGAACAGTGTTCCACATGTTCTAGAACTGTTGGCAAAAGTTGCACGGCAAACATTAAATATTTAAACTTCGGTCACTGTTCGGATGTAAATAGTCAAATTGCCAAGAGATTCCCTCGATTCGTCGCCGTTAAAACCCACCCACCCATAACGTCGATTCGACGTTACGCGTACGTGGCAACATGAATATCACTGTACATGTACTTGTTATTTGACTAGCTGTCCCCTTAGACTCCACTAGACATTACATTGACATTGTAAATATGCGCACGCGATTAAACAAACTAAAATGAAGCAAATATCTTACTTGGGTCTGTTCTTGTCCCTCGTCGCTTTGGATTGAAGTATACAGGGTGTCCCAAAAAAAACGAAAACTATTGAAATCACCAATAACAATTTAATTGTTAGAATCTGAATGCCTTAGCGTTCTGTTGGTTCCCACGAGTGCATAAATGATTGACGTAAGTAAATTTTATGCATAAAGAAACTGTTTAAGAAGCTGATTTTAATTCCCAGGAGCAGAAAATCGCGCACTTTACCAGGAGATATTCCTAACTAAATTCTAATACATGCGCCTTTACGCATCATTACGTCCAGCTGTTTGGTAAGGCATTCAAATTTAACAATAAGTGATTTCAATAGTTTTCGTTTTTTTTGGGACACCCTGTATATCCTTTAATTGCCGGGTAGATTACATTGTTCGTTATTTAATAGATGCGAATATCAATCAGAGTACCCCGTCGCGTTTTAGGTGGGCTTATTTCTATTGGGAGTTTACTCTTTCATTACTGGTCAAAAACACCATAAATTGAGCGCACCTTTCGCTCGGCTTATTTCTCAACAAGTATATCCACAACTACAAAACAAGCTATACCTCTTTTTAAAACTTATTGAATAAGCTATCAAAATTTTATTTCACTTTTAATTTAAAAAACCCTGTAGATTTTGAAATAAATTCGCATAATTTAGCATAAATTATAAAATGTGTCTTCAAATCTATGTAGACGGCCGGCCAAGCTTGCAAAAAATTAAGTTCGATGGCAATTCTTTCTTAAAAGCAAGTAACATCGCTAAACACATTCGAATATGCATACTTATAATGGTTTGGGCTGTTACCAGGCTTAATTCGCAGTTTAAGTGCTAAAATTGAAGCATTTTTGAACACAGGTAAACCCGCTTTGTTAAGGCCTGATTCCACGGGCGCTTTTTCTCGGCGAAATGCGAAATATTTCGCCTGTTTCTTTTGAATTGCGACCACTCGAATAAATTATTTCTACTTGATTGCCCACAATTCAAAAGAAACAGGCGAAATATTTCGCATTTCGCCGAGAAAAAGCGTCCGTGGAATCAGGCCTTTATGATGTTGAAATACATTGAAATCTACAAAGTTCTTTTTCCCTGTTGCCGTGCAACAAATAGACCATTCTCATTGGCTGTGACTAATTAGTATCGCCTGTCCATTGGTTAAGAACAACGGAAATTGCATAGTGCAATACGGCTGAAGTGTAAACAAAGAGATATAAAATATAATTCTTGACAAATTACGGAGATTTAAAGCCAATAAGTGTGATTTTTTTCTTATATTTCTGCTTTCATTAAAACACATTTTTATATACTCCTAGCTGTAAGGTTTCTTACATCCTAGCCGGGCATCACACAAGGGCGTAGGAAGCTTCTAAAAGTTGAGTTGGCCAGGAGCGGCACTTTCCGAATAAAAAAGGGCATCTAAAATTTTTTTCCGGTAGTGTTGGCGACGGGGTGGGGTCTCAAAACTTTTTTCCGGACATACCAAAAAAAATTTTCCGGATATATCCAAATTTCCTAAATACGAAAAAAATTTTCCGGAAATACCAAAACATTTTTCGGACATATCATATTTTTCCCGGAAATGAAAAAAAATTTTCCGGAAAATAACATAAATTCAAGTTTTGAAAAGTGCCATTTGGGCAAAAAAAGACAATCCTTAAAACATTTTTTTCACGCAAGAAAAGGGCACTTTGCTCCCGGAAAAAGGGCACTTGGCAAAACTTGGGGGCCTGCCCCCCCCCGGGCCCCTGGTATCACAGGAACATCACAGTTCCTAGCAACGCTGACTAGTTTTATAGCATTTACAAGCACCTGTATGGCATTTTTTTAGTGCAACCACAATTAAGATATTAAATTTTACATGAAGACGGTATAGATGGATTTGTTGTTCTACATTTATTTACTCCAGCTTCTATATTCGGTGCTCGATATAACCTTAAAAAACTCATTAATAATTCAGGACAAAATACAAAGAAAAATCATAAGCGTGTCGTGGTTATATATGTGATATAAAATCATGTTAATTTACATAAACTTTA